TGAGTCCGAAATTACCATTTTTTACCAGAATTTCCAGATTTTACCGGAAATCGTACTAGGTTTTCTGGCAACTGAGAGGACAAATAAGAGAGTAAGTAAGGTCATCTCTTTGTCAGAAGCTACCTGGTGGTACATTCTGGTAAATGTGTCAAAAGATCCGATGTAGTGTGTTTGACAACCAAATTGTAAACAAAAGAGAAGTGCACTCTGCTAATGCATGTTGAAAAGTAATAATTCCTTGCTTGAGTAGATGCTAATGAGTTTTGGTTAAATTACAAAACGCTTAAAAAGGTATTAGCCGTCATTTTACGTTTAAAAACTTTAAAACTTTAACACAGTACCACCCTATACTCTATATGTGATTGACCATTGAACTAAATCGTTGTTTATTTGGGTAAGATTAAAATATATTTTACTATTCAATATTGGAGTTGGTGTGAAACTAAAATTAATAATTGATTGTTATGTATGCAAATGAGAACTACAATTCTGAGCTTATATTACATTTACATTGAGCCCAAATGCGTCATTTGGGCAAGAAACCTCAAATGCGAGGCCAAATCACGCATTTCTTCATACAAATTCACATTTCCAGAATGACGCATTTCGACGCATTTACACAAAATCACGAAACAAATGCGTTCCAATTGCCGTACTATTTTATTGAACGCACTCAGAAACAAAAGTTCCACAAAAGCTTTGGTTTGTCTTTGACATTTGGAATTTTTCAAACACAAAACAAACACAACGAAATAAATAAATCTTTGAAATTTGTGTGTAAAAATTGTTAATTTAGACAAGAGCTTTACACATTTTTAGTTTAATCAAAGAATAATTGCCTTTTTGTGTCCAAAAAGCGTTAACAATATAATAAATGTAGTGTTTGTTTACATACATTTGGTTTTTGTCTTCCCTTTTCATTTGATGAGAAGTCAAAGCAAATGCGGATCAAGCAGTGTAAACACCTTCAAATGACTGATTTCAAATCACGCATTTTGGTCCAATGTAAATGTAATATTATTGAGCATCTCTTAGTCAAAAACAAAGGCAGTTTTGCTTGATCAAGTTTCGAATCTAAGAAGAAAATGTTTTTAACAAACGAAAGGTTAATAATAAAATTTGAAGGATTTAAGATATTGCGTATGGTAGCATGAAACGTCAAAATCTTCTTAATTGTCAGTCTGTTGATATGGCTACGAGAAAGTGACAATGGAAACACATAGCTGAATATTTCATACTTACAGTGGGATAAACTTCAAACCTCTAATATAAATTAGTTAAATTTAGTTATTATTTTTTTTATCAATTTTAAGTTTTCGCTTGGAATAATTTTCATGAACTTATCTATTAGGAGATCTCTTTGGAAAATTACCGTACATCCGATATCTATTGAAATTTTGACATCCTCACTTTTTGGAAAAAGAAGTTCAAGATACAAGTTTATGTGCAAAAAATAAATTAAACAATAAAAGTCTCCTAATGTATATGGAACATATAATAGAAACATTTTTATTTCATTACCCAGACTTTATGAATAGCCTACTCTAGAAGTAATAGTATAAATTCCGAATTAGTAAGTTCAGTCAAGACGTCATTCAAAAGTTTTGAAGAAAATCACTTTTCTCTTTTGTGAAAATTTAGGACTATCTTACGCGAGTATTGTCGACAAAATTTTAGTCTATGAATGACTAAAAATTAACGAATAAATGGTTAATCGCGATTAATGGTTAAAATTAATTAAGCGATCGCTGTGGTGTAGTGGTTAGAAGTGCGCACTACCATTCCGCAGGGTGAGCGTCCGAGCCCAGTTCCGGCCAACATAAAAACGAAAATGTTTTTTTGTAGTAGTGGTCGGCCCCCGGCAGGAGTCGGCGTAAAACTGTAGGTCCCTCCCCTTTGTGCGACAACATGGCGCATGCCACAATCGGACGAGTAGCTCGGCCAAACACTAACATATGTCGATGGTCCTCTGCAATAACGGCACAATTCAAAATTTTAGGTTTAGAAAAATACATAATTTGAAAGCTTACAGTATGACTGCATATAATCCGCAATAATTACGTTCCAAGACATATTATTGCTAAATTACGAAACAAAAAATCTTTAATTGGCTCTACTGAAATATATGAAATTTTTAGTTGTGTCGATAGGTAAGCGCCTTTCTATTATTATTAGTAATCATCAGTACAATTTCAAATTACATAAACCCGGTCACAGCCCTTTTTTGTATTCGACGCTTCCAGAAATCACATAATACATAAAATAAATAAAAGCTGTTTTGATTAATATTACATAAACTGGAAACTGTTAAAAATAAGTGCGTTTGTGTACAGAGATTTTAGAACCTATTTAGTTCCTAAAATGTCTGCAACACATAACAATAAAAATGCACATCAAATTGCTAAGAATGATGAAGGAAATCGATTCAGACATGCCTGTTTAACTGGCCGTGCGTGCTCAAAACAAACACATGTTAATTAAGGAGCTATTCAAGTATTATGTAACCACCAGTGGAAAGCGGGGGTCTTGGTTTGCTTATTTTTAATAACAACGGGCAACATTTCTTCAAATAAGTAAAACATTAATTACACACGCACAAATTTTGCCTGCAATTTCGATCACAATTGAACACTGCACTTCACTCTCGTTTCGAATTTTTGAAAGCGTTTTTTAAGCTATTTGATGGTTTAACACTTCTTGTGGGCACTTGATATTGTAAAAAAAAATATGCGCAATTCGATCCCTACCTAAATTTTTTTGTAAAGAACGCCCGTTTGCTTTAAATTTGTAAAAATACAATTATTTTTTTATTTTGTTTACATCTGTCATTTGTTACAAATGAAGAAAAGTCCAAGAGTTGCCAAGTATAAATATCTTTATATCTATTTATTAAAATAATAATTTACAATAATAATTTATTTAATTAATACTTTATTAAAATACAAATTTGAAGTGCAAATACATTTGTAAAACTGTTTATCACAAAATGTTATTAATTGTTTGCAAGCATACTATAGTTTTCATGCATTTTGAGAATAAATAATCTAATATGTGTACATATATATCGTCGTTTAAAGTACAAAACCGCGTATCGTCATTCTGCAAAACCGCGTAACTGACATTTGCTGCCAAAAATTGGATTTGCTCACAAAAGCTCTTGGCTCAATTCTTATCCATTCGTCCTGAAAGCCAGAAATACGTTTGCTTTATAAAAAAGAGAACCATTTTGAAATATGGGTGATTCTACCCTCTAGAAAATAATTTATGCAATTACGCGGTTTTGCATTTTCTTGCTACGCGGTTTTGTACTTTAAACGACGATATGTATAGCATGTACTTACGGCGGCCGCTATAGCAGAGTGATTACATGTGCGTACTTCCACTCCATAGGACCATGGTTAAATACCTGGTCAGATCATAAATAGCAGTCGTCCTTCGGCACGCAACGGCAAACCTTCGAGTATATTTCTGCCTTGAAAACTCTTCTTATAAAATCAGAACTCATGCCTCAAGTTTGAGCAGAAGTTCGGCCAAACACTTAGAAAAATATTTTAGCACCAAATATTCATTTGTTTACTTATTGTTGGCGCGACTTAGGAGTTAATAAAACAATTGTATTTTTTGTTATATGGCAATCCTAATTGTATCGAAAATTAATTGTAAAATTTTGTGTTAGTGGCAACGCCATGCCAAATTGTGTAAACGATATGACAGCCATTATGTGCGAAGAAAAATAGCGGCATTCGTGGCTGGCACAGTATAGACAGTAACCAACCTTTTTGGGTGGTTGTTGTAGTAGTCGTTGTTGTTGTAGTTATATTCACTCCTGAGGAAGGCACGGGGTTGTGTGCTGCTATTTAATGGACTTCTTCAGACTTTTTCTTAGATTTCAGGGTTGTGTGCTGTATTATTATTAGATAAATAAATGTAAGTATTTGTCAAATCGTGATTTTATTAAAAGAAAATTATAAATGGTGTTGAAAAACCAAACAAACACTCGTGCGAAAGCTCTATTTTTGTGTATTGTTAAAATAAAATTTATACATGGCGTACTTATTCTTTTGTGGACTTTATGTTACTTGTTTCTGTTATCAATATAATTAACACAAGCTTTTCCGAGTGGTTGCCTTTCAATAAAAAGAATAAACAAATATTCGCAAATAAATTGGATTTATTTTATAACTGACAACTAACCTACGCTTTTTGTTCTTTTCTCCATTTTAATTTTGACTCCTTATTACCGCCAACAACTTTTTGTGTATACATATTTACAAGCTGTCAAAATTTTGCGTAGACCCACGAGCTAGGTAAAAACTATGGCATTCGTATTCACAACGAGAAATTTTTGTTTGGTCTTTCCAAATTTTCTCTTTTTAATCAGTTGGCAAAGGCCCTCAGTGGCAGCGCTCCGAGCGTTGGGATAGTAATTTCATGTCAATTAGTAGAAAAGTTCCATGTTGAAAAAACTTTTTATTATGGCGAGAAAAATTTACATTTCTGCTGTGCCAATTCGTAACTTTTTGCTGCTGGAAATTTTTGACAGTTGCTCTGGTTCAAAAGAAGTTGAGCAATTAAAATCAGAAATTATACAAAAAAGACTTGTCTTTACTAACATTTATTCTTCTAGAACTAAAAGCCATGAATTTATTAGACGCCTTAGTAATAAAATCAAACCATCAGGCCGGGTTGAAAATTTTCATTCACCTCATAGTTAAAAAAATTTACAATCCGTAGTACTTTTCTATCAATTCTCAAATGCGTTTAATTTAAATCGTTTAGAAATTGCGTCATTTATGTATACCATTTTATGTTGAATTATTCAATAAATTTCGTTTTACACTATACTTTTTGAAACTATTTGGAGTTAATTATTTTTTGTTTATTAAAAGCAACCCTGCGTGCTTGGAAGGCGTGTGTACCAATAATTTCATCCCTAGCATATTCATCCCCGAGGAAGGCAGTCGCCAAATTCACCGAAGGTTGTTTACTGGTTATATTGTGGTGGCTGGCATATCGGAGGAATCACACAAAAGTGTAAGTAGAATTTGTTAATTAAATTAATGTTACCTAATTTAATATTTTCTAAAGGAAATAAAACATTCCACATAGTATAAATTCCAACGAGGATTGTGGATATTTTTATTTTGGTCTCCGGCCTCGAATCACCCCAAACATCTTTTATTTCACTTTTTGTGAAAAGTTCTTTTGCATAACGGTTTGGCAGTAGTGGTCGCA